ATTAAATAAATAAGTAAATAAATAATAAACCCTAAACCCCGAGATGTAAATTATATCATTTGTCTTATGCTATTTTATTGTAGCCCTAAGTCCATAACAATTTAGCAAGGCGTTGGTTTTGGTAGTTAAATGTCATAACTTTTGGATTTTGTGGGTTAAAGTGTAAAATCCGGGGTGGTTTTGTAAAGAATTTCAGAAGGCAGGGGATGTTTGGTAAATATTGGACTTAAGTTGAAAAAGGTTTTGTGGGGGAGGGCCAAACATGGAAAATTTAGCACATGTTTGAAAGAGAGCACGGTAATTAAACCCGTTGCCCTTCCCTCTCGTTTTGGTGGATATCAAACCCCAGCCCTAACTTGTTTTCCCCAGACGCCACCATCTTGGAAGCTTTCTCAGCCGCCGCTGCATTGTCGAGTCCGACCGCTATCCTTCCACCTGCTACCTTGTTGTCAGCGCCTCCACAACAGCTCCTGCTCTCGGACGTCGTGAGCAGTCGGAAGAACCACTGAGACCGATGACAGAAGCCGTGAACGTCGATGTGTGGTTCGTGAATGACCGGAAGGTTCTCGGTAAGGATAACCGCATCCCACTCCTTCTTTCCTCTCTATTTGTTCGGCGTCGGGTACATCATTGTTGCCGCCGGTGGCCTTTGGCCACTGTTCTCGTCGTTCCGGCGACGTCAGCCGTCTAGGAGGTGGCCGAGGGTATGTGTGTTCGAGTGTATATGTTGTTTTCTGTGTTCGTGTGGTTGTATGTGCAATATTTGGCCGAAAAACCCACCACCACCACCACTGTGAGGTGGTGGTTGCTACCATTTTGCCGCCACTAGCCACCATCTCCGGTGGTTGTGTGCTTATGTGCGTGTTTGTATTGGTGTTTAGAGTGCTTTTGTCATTGTTTTGGCCTAAAACAATAACCACCACCACCGTGAGGTGGTGACTGCCTATGTGAACCACCGTCGACCGCCACTGCCCGAGGTGGTAGTGGGTGGTGCCCGGCCTAGTGAAACCCTAATCAGCCAAAACTTAACCATTGGACTAATTGGCATGTGTTTGGGTTGGAAACCCTAATTAGGGTTTAGAAAACCCTAATCTTGGAGATTTTTGTTGAGGCTTATCGGGACCCGCATTTTGGACCGTTGGAATGGAGTTATGAATTATGCCCGACCACATTGTATGATTGACCTAGTGGAATGATGGGCTTAATGGATTAAGTCCTTAATGGGTTAAGAGTTCTTACTTAACCATAATCGTCATTTTATGTGAAAACCCTAATCATGTTTGGGCTTCGAGTTGGGCCTTTCTTTTGGGCCTAGGTGTTTGGGTTCTTGTTGGGCCATCTGAGAACAAGTGTATGGACTAGGGTATTTGGATGGGTTTTATGGTAAGGCCCATGTAAGGGGGTTGGGCCCAATTTGGAAAATTGGGCCATAATTGGGCCTTGGTCGACCATTTGGCTTTTGGGCCTCCAGAGTGTAAGTTTGGGCCTTGGTCTTGGACCAAGTTAGGTTAGGGGTAAAATAGTCTTTTTACCCCAAGTATGGATTTATGGTTATGCATTGAAACCCAATTGTTAATTGGGTGTTATTTTGATGATTGACAGTTCGGGGATCTGTCAGCCAACAGCCAGGGATCGTCTGTGTGATTCAGCAGTGTAAGGTGAGTCTTATCCCTGTATTTAGCTGGTCGAAGGCACCAATGCCGGCCCATGGTATGTTATGCTTAGTATGCTTGTTGTCTACGTGACTCTTGCATGTGTTATGTATGTTATGTTTACCGAGCGGGGCTCGATGCCAGGTGAGGCCTGATGAGTATCTTGTATGCTAGTTATCTGTATGTGTTTTTATGATTACCGGGTACGAACCGATGTCGGGCGGGGCCCGATGACCGGTATGTATGCTATTTTATCTCTGTGATTATGGCATGTGTTGTGTGTTATATGTTTATGTGTTTATATGTTTACATGTTATATGTTTATATGTATACCGGGCGGGGCCTGATGACTTAGAGATCTGTATAATGAACGGGGCCCGATGATAGGACGTGGTCCACTATGTGTTTATTTGTATATGTATGGTATGTGGTATGTTGCGAAACTCACTAAGCTTTGTGCTTACAATTTTCAGTTATGTTTCAAGTACTTCGGTTTTCAAATGGAAGAGCTCGGGATGATTGCAGGGCACACACCACATGTTTCCGCATTTCGTAAATTACTCTGACTTAATGATGTTTTGATAAATCTCGATTAACTTGGTTTGTGGAAATGATATGTATTAACGATTTATTGATTTAAAAATGAAAATTTTATGTCATTATTTTTGGGGCGTTACAATAAGTACGATAGAGAAATCGTTTGAACAACTGAAAAAACAGAAACGATAATACTGATCTCTAGATTGTGTATGCGAGAAGGAGAAACGATGTCATAGATGCGTCGATTTCGAGATTTACGAGGCTACAAAATAGAGATTCACGAGGAGTCCATTCCGTTCCCTGATGACGCACTATTCCCGTTGTTTTCTTCGTTCCAGATGCATGTACACGTACTTACCGTTCCACCCTTCCGGTCCATATGTTTTTTGGACTGATTTCAAGTAAAATATACATAAACTAAATTTTATATGTATACATATCATATAGCTCATAAACTTTGGGCCCCTTAAAGGCATGGTCCTTGGGCGGTCATCTGCCCAGGTCGGGCCTACGTTTGATGCATGTCCCAGTCGTTATGCCAAATTAAGAAGTCATTCCCATCAGGGTAGAGGCGAATGCACACTCCGAGGGGGAGTTAAAGTGAATGGAGTTTTTTGTGTTCCAAATTTTAAATGCAATCTTCTTTCCGTTAATCGCTTAAGTAAAGACCTTCAATGTAGTGTAACTTTCTTTCCAGATTTTGTGTAATGTAGGGGTTACGGTCTTACGGACGAGGAACTTAAATGAAGCGGGCATATGCGAAGGGGGATTGTATCGAATGAGGATGGTGGTTGCATGAAATCCTATATAAGAAGAGAGGGCATGGGCTGCCAGAAGAGAAGAAGGGGGGAGAAGAGAGACACGGTAGAAGTTTGCCAAGTTCGCTAGCCAAGATACGCCTTCCAAGGATGAACCGCGGTGTGCGTCGAGTCCATATAGGTAGTGTCGAGCTCTTTGTCGTATGAATTCGTCTAGCCTAAGGTGATATTTATGTTTCGGAGACCATTCTTAAGATGATTATTGTACGGTTATCATGTTTCCATGGTGCAGATTCTTTCATTTTTTATGCGGCCAACGATAGGAATAATAACTATTTTCAAAGCACACGATTTTGTAAACTTTAGAAAGTAACATATTTAATTAAACAATTTAATAGAGTAGACCAATTTTGACTCTTCTTTAAAATAGTTTCTATTGAATAAATCCAAAACCTATAAAAACAAATGTATGTGTTTTTTAGGAAGAATTTAATGCACAATTTACATTCTTGCTATTATAAATCATTACTTAAAAAATCATATTTTAAATTTTAAACTAATTCCTTAGCTATTTTATTACTAACTAACTGTTTTAATTAGATATTATATTTTATACAGAAAAGAAAAGAATTTTTTATCAAATGTGCTACTACCCAATTATTGACATATTTAAACAATGATTTAGACTTTAGATCCAATCTTGTGATGAACCCTTCAATAATTAAGCTCAAATAAATACAAAAAGGAACAAAACTAAAAGAAACCAAAAGCAAATTATAAGCCTACCAATTGCAATAATTCTGAACATAGAAAAAAAATATAAAAATAAAAAGATTAAAAAAAGAAAGTAAAATTATCAATATTCCAAAGTAGTAAAGGACGCCCAATAATGGATTTAACTTCATTGCAATCTTTGGTCAAAAGTTATAAAAATAATTCGGTTTGCTTTGGTTTACAATTGAAGTAGTCCTTACTTTTCTAATTAACCTAAAGATCAAGTTTTAATTTCATAATATCTCCTTAATATCACATAATATAAATTAATGCCACGTAATTCATTTTGACCCACGATTATTGGTTATATTGTTCTAGTAAAAGTTAATAATCAAACGTGATATGATTACTTAAATGTGGACAAAAGCTAAAGGTTATTGTCCTCTTAACCGCTAATCCATAAAATTATATTTTTTTTCAATATCTACTTTTGTGTGTTCCTAAAAATTTAGTTGATACTTATAACTTATTATAACAACATTTTAAAACAATTAATTTGCAATCTTCTTCTAAATATTGTTTAGACAAAAGATTTTAAAGAAGAAAAGCCAGTGAAAAAGAAAAGCATGAAGCATGGAAGCTTTGTTTGTATGTTCCCTAACCTTTCGACATGCTCATGTACATTTTAATCATGTTTGTACCAATCTTACAAATGTACCCCCACCAATTTTAGCCATATACAACTTTCTTAACTGGATTGTAGAGGCTAATATAGGAAACAAAATGTTCTTACATTATATAATTTTTTTTTATTTTTTTGTAAAAAACTAGGTTTGTAATTTTTTTGACATCAACGATCTACTTTCCAATATCACTAGGCACGCATCATAAATTATTATCAAGCTAGATTTTGATTGGCTAATTGAGTAAATGATATTTTAAAATAGGGAAAAACATTAAAATAATCAAAATGTGTCATTTTTATTATTATTAAATAACCATATTTTCTAATTTTATTATAAAATAGTTTGTTTCTCTTACAATTTTCGATATTCTACAAAGTTGGAAAATTATACACTTTGTATATTTCATAAAATCTTTGTAATCTTGTGATTTTTTGTTTCTATTCGTTTTCATATATACTTTTTTCCTATCACTATCAACTAGTCTCTTGCTAGTTTTATTAATATAATGTCAGCCTTTTTTCTGTTTAGGAAAAAAAAAGTTAACTTTTTTTTTTTTTTTAATTAAATCAAAACATTGTAACTTTACATTCAAAACATTTACATAGAAGAAGCAGAAGAAGAAGAAACAAAATACATGAGTGGAAGAAGACTTATGATTTGCTCTTCTTTTTAGCTTTTCCATTACACAAAAGTGAACCAAATCCAAAAAAACTTATAGTCCCCTTTGAAATATTGTAAGCAGGTGGAATGTTCAAAACTGGAATAATTCTAATTCCTCCTTTCGAATTCCTTGAACTCGAATTTTGATAACTATAATACATATGAGTGGAAGAAGAAGAAGAAGCTGGATTTTGAGTTTGAGCTACGCTAGAACATCTTCTTAATGACACAGGCTCCTTTGATCTTTCCATGGATTTCGGACCTCCATTTCCCTTTGGATTCAGAGCTGAACCAGTTGAATAGCTTCTTGATAAGCTTTTTATCGATAAGGATCTAAGCAACCCTTTTGGGCCCTTACCATTGTCGCAATTAAGACTCGTGCTTCTCCTGAACTGCCAAAAGGATCTCGATGTGGATGTCGATTTTTGTTGTTCTTCGTCATTGAATATGAACTCCTTGAGGCGTTTCTTCTGGGTATCCGTATTTGGTGGTGAAGTTTCCGATTTGGGAACTGGGAGGTGAATGATTTTGGGTTTTTTGATTTGGGTAGGGAGGATTTTTCCATTGGAGAAGAGCTCATCCGCAGGTGTGAGATTGGAGGTGGTGCAGAAATCGAAATCGAAAGTGGGAGATAGAAGAAATTGGTCTGATCTGTTGGGATCGGATTGAATCGAGTTGATATCTGAAGATGGGTCATTGATATCATGGGAGAAGGAGATTCGTGGGCTTATAGGAACTTCGGAAGCAGAGCAAACATCGACAGCCATGGATGATGGATGGAGTTTTGAATGGAAAACTGTTGTAAGAAGGAAGAAAGGCTGATTTATAGGCAAGAGGAAATACTTGGTGAGTGAGAGTAAAAGGTTTTTATTTTATTTGTATAATGTTAAGCTAACGAATGTACGAGCCTTTTGAAAAGATTCCTGGTCTCGAGTAAAATATTTCTCCCATCTCAAAATTATTTATGGGGTTTTCAATAAATACTGTTAATAGAAAGATTCTATTAAGAATGTATAATTGCTTGATGTTTCTATTAATCAATGGTGGAATATATATACTATAAGAATAACTCAATCTATGAAAAGTAGTCGTATAGTACATTGGTATGTTCTACAAAATTAGAAGCGAAATACTATAACTTTTAATTATTTAATTATATAAAACTTAATAGTAAAATGTTTCCAAAAAAAAAAAAAACTGTGTGATATAACTTTTTTAGATTTGTGAGCTTTTTACTTAAAATAAGAACGAAATATTTTGTTTAATTCCAGTTTTTTATAAGCTTGTTACCATAACACATAAATATGACCATGTATATCTAATTGTCATCCGCAATCAAAGTTGTATGTGGTCGTATACTGAGATCTTGTGAAAATCATCAAATAGAACTCGAGTTAACCCTTTAGTGAAGATATTGGCTAACAAGTACCATGTCGGGACATGTAGAACTCTGACTCTGCCCTTTGCAACCGTTTCATGGATATAGTATATCCATTTCAATATGCATAGTGTGTTGATGTTCCACAAGATTTCCTGAATAAAAAGTAGCACTAACATTGTCACGATACATAATAGTGGTATTTGGTAGGGAACAATTGAGTTAGAGTGATATGTTATGAAACCACAAAGCATCAAAACGACATTTGTGATGCTACGGTATTCGGCCTAACCACATTATCGTGGGAGAGTTGGTTATCTTTTAGAAGATCATGAAATAAGAATGTCACCTAATAGGACATGATATCCTGAGGTTGATCTTCGAGTATCAAAACACCCACCCGATCTGCATTTGTATAACATAGTAAAGTGAATGATACAAATTTTGATAAATACAGTATGTGAGTAAGGGTGCCTTGTAAATATCAGAATATATGTTTGAGAGTATTCGTGTGATATGTTTTTGGACTCTACATATGTAGACAAATCTATTATAGCGTGGAAGTGATGTTGAGGCGAGTGAAAGTGAGATATTGAAGTGCACGAACCAAACTTCGATAAGACTTGGGTTCGGAAAACGAGTCATCATACGAGGAGCCAAGTTTGGCATTTGTGTTAACAAGTGTAGCAGATGGTTAGCAAGAAATCATCTCGGCTCAATCGATAATATCTTTGGTATATTGAGTTTGTTGAAAAATATACCAGTTTTGTAACATGTAACAACAATGCCCAAAAAACAACTAAGAGTTTCATGTCAAATTCCTTTGTCAAAAGATCTATCAATAAGTATCATAAGTTGTGAGATGAGGTTATGAGAATGATATTATCCACATGCAATAAATAAATATACACCATTGTTACCATCTTAAAGATAAAATAAAAGCGGCCACATCGACTATGAGTGAACCTAATTGATGAAAAAAATTGGTAAAAATTTTGTACCAAGATTATGGTGCTTGTTTGAGACCATGTAACAACTTTTTAAAAAGACCTAGGAAGTGGGGACGAGTGGGGTCTTGAGTGAGGTGCACAGTAAGAGGAGGGGTGGGGGGAAGATATAAAAGGACATGACTTGCACTAGGTCGGTGAAGTGTATTGGTTTTGTGCACTTGTAAAAGTTGTGTTCGCGTTTAGAGGCCTAGTACCAATTATATATTGTGCATTGATGGGAGCATTAGGTAGTATCCAGTGAGTGGTCGGGTAAGGACATGGGGGCATGACCCATAGTTATTCTGCCTAAGCCCTAGGTGGGTATTCACCCCAAATGTAGATCAAAATCCATTGTTTTGTTACGAAAAGTTTAACGACCCACGACCATGTCTGCTTTTGTATCCTAGGCTTCCATAAGCATCGTGACCATAGCCTGAGGAAGGATGGTTACCGTTGTTATTTTGCTTTGACGGTGGAATTATGGTGGCGTTGTGAGAACGTTGTGACAGTTAATGTGTTGGAGGTTGTTGTGACACGTTGTTTGGCATACCATTTTTCTTCAAGAACAATTTAGACTATGCTTCATAAAAATCGGGTTAGGGATCTTATTTTTGAATGAGAGTAGCAACTTCATTGTAGTTTTTTGTTAGGCCGAAGAATTAAAGGTATGAAAAGAAGGTGATCAGAGATGGGTGCATCAATAATAGATAATTGATCGGCTAAGGTTTTGAACTCTTGAAAATATGATGAAATGTTGGAGAAAGTTTCAAGGCGTGCATTAGAATATCGGTGAGCAAGGTATACCGTTCGTGAGTTTTTGTTATCATGAAAAATATTCTTGAGTATTTTCCATGTGTTTTGCATTATTAAATTGAGAGTAAGTATGGTGTCCAAGATATCATTAGATATCATATCGTGGATCCACTAATTGACATTGACGTCAAGTCGATCCAAACATTCTTTGGTGGTGGCGGGTTTAGTTGTGGCAGTTGTGATGGTGATGTATGATATAATGTGATCAGGAAATTGATATGCACGACAATGTATCTAGATCGGTGTAGACCAAGATGAATATTGAATGTTTTCCATCTCTATGGTTATAGGGATAAAGGAGATTATGTTTGAAACCGTAACGCCCAAATGTAATTTGTTTTAGTAATTTATTTTTCCTACCCCTGGGAGAAGGTATGTAACATCCCAAAAATACTGATAAAAATTTCATTTTTAAAATCATCAAATCTACACATCATGTGTTTCAGAACTAATCATAGTACAAATGTATCAAACTCATCATATTAAAATAATCATCGATGCGGAAATCATATATGGATGATGTGGAGTCAAACCGGACTCTTCCTTTTGGAAGTGGAAGTACCTAAAAAATTATTAAACCACAAACCATAAGCAGAAAACTTAGTGAGTTCCCCAAAATACCACATATCATACTGTAACGTTCGCGTTTCTGGCTAAGCATTATTATTATGATGTAATCGCTAGGTTCAACAATTCTAACGTATTTTATGTAGTGAAGAAGAATTATTTGAGTATTATGTGATTTATGTAATTTATGTGCAATATATGTGTTTATAAAGATATAATAAAATAAGAATAAAATATGCATCTAAAATAAAATAATAATTAGAGGAAGTTATGATTTTTCTAAAATACGCATTTAAAGAACGCTAAAATCCGATTTATAATGAAGAAGTTATGAACCGTCGAAGATTTACGATACGGCTCCGCGTATCGTAAAAAGTTTATTTTTGACGAAAAACCATTTAGCTTTAGCAATCTAAAAAAAGTCGTAGTAGACGTTAAACCGAGAGCATGCATATAGAGAACATCCAAATCCGATTTCATTAGAGGAAGTTATGATTTGTCTAAGATTCAGCATAGCAATATACAGCCCGAAAATCGAATTTTAGATTGATCGTTTTTAGCCGACACAACCTAAATGAGAATTAAAGATCTCACTAATAGGAGCTCAATGATATAAAGACAGTCGAAAATGGATATCGGATGACAAAATTATGAATTTTTAACGAACTTTGAATGTCTAAGCCTGTTAAGATATAACTTTAAAAATAAAGTTAAAATTAGCCGACGGAGTCTAAACAAAAGTTGTAGATCACGTCGATACCTACGTGTGGATATAAAGAACGCCAAAAATGGAGAAAGTTATGGATTTTAGAAGATAATTAATTTTCAAATTAAACCTCGAAGTGACATGTGGCAAGATCAGGGCCACAACTTCTTCCCAACGGCTTGGAACGAGATCGCAACACCTGGCCTCAGTACAAACAGCATAGCTCGAAGTACGCCCAGCGTACCCTTTGCGTAGGCCACGCGTACAAGGGTGTTGGCAGCCTATAAATAGAAGGCGTTTTCACTCATTTCTCTACACCTTCTCAACCAATTCTCTCTCAAACACCCCCAAACCTTTTAAGCCTTTCCCTAGCACATCCTAGGTGTTAGTAACGAAGCCCGGAGTGCCGGAAAGCCTTGAGAAGAAGAGCTTTCGACTTAGAAGTTATGCCCGAGCAGAGCCCGTTTTCTCGCTAAACCCCCTGTAAGTGAGTTATGCTTACCATACTTTAAGTATAACTTATGTTTAATTTAATTATCGTTATTATGAACCTATAAACAAGATTTATAAGTGATTCAAAGTCATTATACTAATTGATTTACTTACGAGATAGGTGTCTAGAATGGTCACGTTGGCTTAGTTGTTGGATTTCAGAAAGACTATATGCCGAAATTGTCCTGCCTCCTAACTGTCCAGCCTGGCTGATCCTTACTTGATAGATCTTGAAGTAGACTTTTAGTTAATGATGAATCTGGACTAATAATTAGTTGCAATAAATAATAGACTACGACTTAGTGATAATGATACTAGATTTCGTCAAACGAAAAGACAATTGTTAGAAGCGAAGCGGTGCCCGAATTACAAGTCGTCACTTTAACAAATGAGTGTATAGTTACTTTCATCTTACACATAGATATGAAGTATTTAATATAAATTACTTGTTATATGTGTCTATTATCTGTGTTCCTGATATCTATGCTAGATGAACGATTTATACATGTTTTACTTGATTTAAACTGTATGTGTACTTTATACATATAATTATGTTGGGTAAAGATGGGTAGATGATGTAGATGATGAAAGATGAAATAAATGATGAGAGGTCTTGATGTTAAAGCTAATCGAGTCATCTAGCGGAGTATAGATAACGACCACAGACTATTCTAGACAGTCCAGTGGAACGCTGGCAGGCTCGCAACCTGTAGGTGTTTGTGAACGACGTGTTCACAAGGTATACTCCATCCCCCTCATGATTGCCTTACTGACATATATTGCTGAGGAATCCGCTAAGCATTATTGTCAATCCCGAAGATA